CGACTACTCCGGTGACCGGCAACAACTCCGGCGATTTTTTCGAGGTCACAGATCAAAAATTTTGTAGGTCACGGATTATTTCGAGATCACAGATAAAAAATTTTATAGGTCACGTATTATTTTCAGGTCACAGATAAAAAATTTTGTAGGTCACGGATTATTTCGAAACTACAGATCTAATATTTTATAGGTTACATATTATTTCGGGGTCACAGATTATTTTTTAAGTTACAAATTATCAATTTTAAGATAGGTCACAGATACCAAAAAAATCACAATCGCTAGGTCACAACACCAAATAGTTGGTCACAGGTCACAGATGACCAAATATTTGGTCAAGACACTTCGTCTCATTCGCTGTCGACCACAATCCCTAAAACACCCACCAACAATAACACCACTGTCACCACCTGAACAACAACACTATCGTCACCCCGTCACAATTAATGACGATGAACCAATTATTTGGTCACATACATCAAACATCCCACCCCACTCCCGATCCACCACCAATAGTTGGTCATAGATCAATCAAAAAATTGGTCACAAAATACCACCACCGCCTCCGCCTTCTTAGTCACAAAACACCACCACTACCGTCACATCCAGCCATACAAATCACCACCACCGCTACTTCAAGCACAGAGTCTCGGCTCTTCGCTGGAACCAACCAAACACTCCAGCCTTCTTTTTAATTTTCGAATGCATTGGCCAACCAGAAGTGAAAAAATGCATTTAGTATACCCTTTTCTACTCATCACATCGATCCAAAAAACGCCACCATCATTAGTCCTCCTCTCGATCAAGCATCGCGAACTATCGCGAACTGTAGCGTTGTGATGCTGAGAAAAGGTGGTGGTGCCGCAGCAGTGTCGCGCGATGCTGCTGTGGGTGTAGCAGCAGCACAGCAGCGTCGCACGATGCTACTGTTGGTGTCGCAGCAGCATCGCGCGACGCTGCTGTGGTTGTCGCCGCGACGCTGTACACCAACAGCAGCATCGCGGCCTAAGGAGAGAGGGGGAGAAGAAGGAAGGAGAAGAGGGAGAAAGGGAGAAGCAGGAGGAGAAGAGGGAGAAAGGAGAGGCGACGGTCGGTGTTGTTGGAGAGAAGTGAGAGAGCGAAGAGAATTGATTATTTAGGGTTAAAATTTTTGGTGGGAGTAG